TAAAACTCTGGTAGTTCTCGCGTGCATACCTGGAGGAAAGAAAATGAAATTTAGCAGAGCGTTACCGAAAATGCTGTGTACGAGAATGTTGTACGTATACTGACCTTTGCCGAAAAAATTCGCTATAGGCGTAATAAAGATGACGGGGTGCGTGTGACCCGGTGGTATCAGAAGTGTTCCTAACTCGGCTTGTTTGTGAAGGGCCGTTGATATTCTACTCGCTTGGACAGCGACGAGATTTCCACCGACACCGTTGATCACCGGTTGAAAGACAGTCAAGTTTTTGAATCGCGACACCATGAATTCCAAAATTAGGCCGCCGCAACTGCGATCAGGCGAGACAAGTTGAAACGATTCAACGAAACGATCGAGACGAGATTTTGCCGATTGTTTGTTGATACGTTGATCGTACGTTTTTACCTTTACGCACGATTCGTTTCTCCGTTTCGTTGCTACTTACCAACTGATTAACATGGCAATCATAACGGGAGTCCATCCGGAATAAAGGACATCGTTGGTGTATTTGTTTTTTTTAGCGATCCATACCCAAAGTGGGGTGACAAGAACGTAACAAGCGATCACCAAGGGTGCGAGCCAATCCTGTTTATTGATCGACTCGTAGAGTATCGTCGAGATCCAGGAGAGCAAAGCCAAGGAAGTGATATCGCCAAGGCTGGCGGCTATCGGCGTCGCAACGTTGTCCGGATTTATGTGACAGTGCCGCGAAGAAACGATTACTCCTGCAGTTATCAGGCCGAGGACAAAGGACGCCAAGGACGCGGTAACCAGGCTGCTCGCGCACAACAGGTAAGCGTGATCCAATGAAATGGTTCCGTATCGAAACGCTCCCATTACGATCGCCACCACAGAGCCCAGAAATCCAACCACTATCGCCTGGCACTGCCAACACGAACGTGTAAACCAGCGATAACAACAAGATAATGAGCAAGTAACGAGTAACGAGTAAGGAAATAACAATGTGGATGAGAGTGTAAATCAAAGAAGAGATGAAACGATGGCAAGAGATTTAACGAGATTTTTCATTGACAAGAGCAACGTTTGCGTTGTTTGTAAAGATACGCGTGCTCGAGTAGCGTAAGTCGTCTACAGTCGCGGTCAGTCGACTTTATCTATTGTTTATCGTTACGGCCTGCTCTCTGAAACTAGCCCAATTCGTTTGAACGAAAAACAGATAGAGAGAAGAGAAGCAGGTTACAATTATTTCCTGTTTCGCATGAAATATGTAACGGGTACTGTTCTCTTACTGTACGGCACGTGTCTTATATGTAGCTTTGATGTAAGTACAGTTACCGAGAGTGTCTAGTTTCCGCGGGTGTTTGCTCATCGATCGCAGATTACATCCTGCGATAAATATAACGTTCACACTCGAAGGTCATTTACCGTTGACGCGTTGAAAGCGTAATCAAATAAAATCACGGCGCCAATGATAAGGCGTCCGCAAGTCGCGTACCTTGTCACCGGAACCGTCTGATTTTCAATAATTTCAACGAACCGGCGTGTAATAAGATGCGCATTTCGCATTCGGAATTCAGAATGTGCATGGCAAAGCGATAGTAAGAGAAGCGATTCCAGGGAATTGGGAGTGGGTGAATGAATGAACGGACGAACGAGTGAACAAATAAGGGAGTGAATGAGAGAGTGTGCTCTGTGTGCGTGTACAAGAACGATAGAGGGAGAGATAAGTAGACAAACAAGTAGA